ACACACATGAGAAAGAGAGAGAGAGAGATCAAAAACTGCTCTAAATTGTTTGTTGAGTTATGTATCCAAGTTATATGTCCACCCTTTTGATTTAGGATTCAGGGTAGTGAACAACAGGTAATAAAACAACAAAAACATCATCAAAAACTAAAAGCTTAACCACAGTTAGCATGCGTACAGAGATCTAGTGGGTCTTTCTTGATCTAATAAGAATGTTGCATGAATCTACCCACTGTGGACCAGTCAATCTGGAGAAGATACACCTACATGATCATTAATCGCAGATACCTATTTGACAACAAATTAAGGAAGATGGTGACAATGACAACTTGGTAGCCCCTTTTCTGATTAACAAATGTTATTAAAAGGCAGAAGCTCCTGATTTTTTTTTTTCTTTGTCACGACAGCAAAAATCTGGAAATGTGTTTGAACACAGTAGGAACGGCTAGGCCAGTGGTGGCAAACCTTTTAGAGACCGAGTGCCCAAACTGCAAACCAAAGCCCACTTATGCATCGCTGGGTGCCGGGTGAGCATGGCCACCGACTGGGCGTGGCCACCAACTGGGCGTGGCCCCCGAGCTGTCAGCTCATGCTCGCTCACTCTTTGTCCGCTCCGACTTGTGCTCGCTCTCTTGCTGTCTGCAGCAAATGCTGTTTCCCCCGAAAGTTGCTCCTTTTATAGCCTCTCGCCTATTCCCAGACTGCGTATACACGGAGAGCTGCGCATGCACGGAGAGGAGGAGGGAACAGCTCGGCCCAGCAATGGCTCGCGTGCCCCCAGAGACAGCTCTGTGTGCCACCTGTGGCACGCGTGCCATAGGTTCGGCACCACGGAGCTAGGCTCTCACCTCACCTCTTCGTCACAAAAATTGCACTGCTTGGAGTAGTGCAGATACTACAACAGCATTGGTTGTAGCATTGGTAGGAGGAGAGCCTTGACAGCCTATGGCAGACTTGGGTATTTTATGGCCCTCAGGCCACATCCGGCCCTTTAACTGTCCCTTTCCGGCCTTCATGGATTTTTTTTTATTATTTTGAAGGTGACTGCTATTTTTGTTTTCAATCTACATAGATGCCTTCGTATGGTGCTTTTGCATCTTCACAGCCCTACTGGTTCGGCCCTCCATAACAGTAGCAGTTTCTCATGTAGCCCCTTGCTAAAATTAATTGCCCACCCCGGTGTATAGGGTCAAAGAAAAAAAATCAGGAGTTTCTGCCTTTTAATAACATTTGTTAATCAGAAAAGGGGCTACCGGACCTCTGCTTTTTGTACAGTATCTTTAGCTATCGTAGTTCTTTGGGAAGGAGGTGATAGTTACAAGTACGAAACCGGGTCAGAACCATCTGGTAAACTATATAGATAGAAACTGTAATAATAACAATATCAACAGCAGCAGCAGCAGCAGTGATGACAAGGGATAACTGAAACCTCTGCCTTTGTGCAAAAGGAATGTCAGTTTTTGATATTTATCTTATTTTGAAACTCATTTGATAAAATAATGGCTTTTTAATAAATAATTAAATAACTCTGAACTCAGTCTTCCAACTAGGGTTGTCTTCAAGGGGGTGTCCAAAACAATAATAATAATAAAGATAGTGTCTGCAGCTATGTGACTTCCCCTTTTGTGTATTTGTCAAAAGAGACTGACATTGGTTGTCTAGTCAGGGCCACCATTTTGATTTTTCACATACAGATAGTCCTCCTCTTATCACCATATTTGGGATCAGAATTTTCCATTGTTAAGCAAGGCGTCTGTTAAGTTACCATTTTATGACCTTTTTCACCCTGGTTGTTAAGAGAAACACGGCAGCCGTTAAATGGATCGTGCAGTCATTAAGCAAATCAATTTTTCCCCAAAATGACTTTCCTTATCAGAAGCTGGCTAGGAGGTCAGAAGTGGCAATCATGTCACATCTCTCACGCACACACATACACACACACACACAAACATACACACAAACCCTCCAAAGATGCTGCAACCATCATAAATACATGCCGGTTGCCAAGCGCCAAATTTTGATCATGTGACTTGCCTTGGTTAAAAACAATTGAGCTGATAGATTTTAACCATTTTGGGGTTTTTTTTTGCTTTGCTTTGGTTCTAGCAATTTTTCTTCACGATAAATGCAGCTCCCCGTATTTGTGCATCAGGGAACGCAGAATTAAATGCGCTTTTTTGAACCACCCAATCTAGCCTTTGTTGTTGTTGTTGTTGTTGTTGTTGTTGTTGTTGTTTTTGCATAGTTCAGGCATAGGCAACCTTGGCTCTTTTATGATTCGTGGACTTCAACTCCCAGAATTCCTGAGCCAGCTATGGGCTTCCAAACATGGCAGCTTTAAGACTTGTGGACTTCAACTCCCAGGATTCCTCAGTTCTATCCCCCCCCCTTTCAGACCACTTGCGCTTCTTCAGCAAAATCCACCCCACAGGATTATTGTTGTTGTAAGAAAAAACAGAAAGGGAAACGCTAGGTAAACTATCTTCAACTTTTGAATGGAAGGTGACTTATAAAACAAATAAACGCATGTTATCTGAGGCTGTTTATAAATCTAATATATAAACAAACTCAGAAGCAAGATTGGGGAATATGATCTTGGTGAGTTTTTCTATGGTTTTTGGAAAAACAAAGTAGTCATGTATTGTATTTACTCATGCAAAAGCCAAAAAAGTTTTTAGATGCCAAAATGCACCAAAAAAGCACATTTAGCTTGTCTGTTTATTTGTTTTCCAAGTCCAGAACATCTTACATTACAAAGAGAAATATAACATTTAAAACTAGCGCAACAATCTAAACGAGGAAAAATTTCAAACACTATATGACAAATATAAAGATTAAAACACAGAAGGAATTTAAAATACTTACGTGGTATTATAGAGCATTTGAGGCCCACCAAGGAGCCGAAGGACTATTTTCAGCTTATCTGCGGAAGGGCTTATCCCTGAATATCTATACAGTAATGTTTTTTAAAGTTTTATTTCCAGCATACATTCACAGGTAAAGCCCCTCTGCAGATAAGCAGACCCCCAAATTTTTAACCAAAATACCATACAAAATGCATATCCGCCAGTGGCACATTTTTAATTGAATTTTGGTAAAAAAAAAAATATGTGAGAGTTGGCTTATCCCTCAATTGGATGGGCTTATATGCAACTATATACAGTAGGTGTGTTAAGCCTGTTTTTTAATTATTATTATTGTTTTAAAAAAGGCAAAGCCCCATCAATGAAAAAAACAGGAGCAAAGCTTTTTCCCCCCATTTCTACATACTTCATAGGGTTATTGTCACTGGGGAAAACTGAAGGATAGAGTGCTTAGTATGCGCTCCTTGTCTCCTGCAGGAAAGATAGAAGTCAAATAAACTAAACAAAATGGCAGCTTGCATCCATGTGGTGGAGATCAGTTTTGTTGTGCAATTGTTGGGTGGGCGGGAAAAGCAGAAATTGGCGGGCTGGACTGGAGTGTAACTGCATTCATGAAATAAAAAGTTGGTTCGTCCCTCGTAATCTCAGGTAGCCCTTTGGTGAACTATTTCTAAAGGTCAAGAATGCTTTGCAGACATCAGATTAGCAACCTTTGAATAGTTTTCGCCAGATCGGTGAAAGAGTATTCTCTGTATATAGAGAGTCCTCAGCTTACAATCATTCCTTTAGTGACTGTTTACAGTTACAACGGCACTGGGAAAAAAAGTAACTTACAACCCGTTTTTCCCACTTAATGGCAGTTGCACCACCCCCATGTTCACGTGATCAAAATTCGGACGCTTGGCGACTGACTCATCTGTATGACGGTTGCAGTGTCCCGTGGTCATGTGATCCCCTTTTGTGGTCTTCTGACAAGCCGAGTCAAGGGGGAAGCCAGGTTCACTGAACCGCTAGTGTTGCTAACTTCACTACTGTGGTGATTCCCTTAACAACGGATAAGAAAGGTCATAAAATGGGGCAAATCTCATTTAACAACTGTCTCACTTAGCAATATAAATTGTGGGCTCAATTGTCATAAGTTTAGGACTACCTGTATACAAGCAGGCTTCAATTTTCAACCACCGCTTAATGATCATTTGAAGTTTCGACAGACCCTCCCCCCAAAAGCTACTTACAGTTCAGCTCCAAAATTCCAGTGGCCATGTCTCCCCCCCCCCAACCACATTTTGGGTACTTAGCAACCAATCTGCATTTATTTGCAATAACCTGCAGTCGCACGACCACCCTTTTTATCAGAAACTGGTGTTTACTTCCAGTTTCCATCAAAACCCAGTCCATAGCAAACAATGGGTTCGATTACCAACTGCCATGTTCAAGTAACAACCATCACAAAAAAGCTAGTACAATTAAATCAGTCACATGATGATCCACTTCACAACCGTCGCAAGTTACAACCATAATTGCCAGGCTGTTACAGTCATAAGTTGAGGACTGCCTGTATTGCTTTCGGATAGAAGACAAGGGCTGAAGATCACTTAGTGGCTTAATTAGCTCATGTAAAGAGCACATTTCTTCAAATAGATTCAACCTTGGTTGGGGTTTTTGGTTTCTTGGCTGTGCAGATTCAATCCTTCGGTTTTATCTCTGGTTCAGTATATTGTACAAACCCAGCAAAAGGTAGGGTGGGGAGGTAAGCTTGGAACACAAAACATCCAGTGGTGGGATTCAAATACCTGAACAACCGGTTCTATTATGAGATGCAGGCCTGGGCCTCTGGTGCCTAGAACGGACTTCTGGAAGTAGCATCCATGCACTTCCGTTGGGTCGTTCTAGGCCTGGGAGGTCTCCGAGGCCTAGACTGGACTTCCAGAAGCCAGCCGGTTCTCCGAATTCAGGTAAATTTAGCTACCGGTTCTCGCGAACCGGCTGAATCCCACCACTGAAAACATCTCAAGAACTTCCTTCTAGTGAAGAAACCATATGTCTGCTTGGTATCTCTGGTGGTCTAAGAGTTCCACCACTGGAAATATTTTATCTTCTGCTCTGCTAACTGATGTCTCCTTCTTGCCTTTTTAGGGACCTGCTCAGGATAGGGGTGACGCTGGCAGGACACCAGAAGAAGATCTTGAGCAGCATACAGGACATGAGGTTACAAATGAACCAGACTCTGCCAGTTCAGGTTTGACCACGGAGAACGCTGCCTTTGGAACGGATCCCCCTCCCCCCGAGGGTCACTTCCCTAGGATTCTAGTTTGCGGTGCTGCCCAGCTTCCTGAGTTTGAGGAAGGGGGGTTCTTCTCCATCCTCCCCCACCCCGTTATCGGGGCGGGGAGCTTCTCGGTTTGCCAACAGACCTATGGCAGAATGGACTAGGATGACCCTGGCTAGATTAAAGACATTCCCGGATCAGCAAGAGGTCGCCTTCCTCGTTTTTGCTGTGACGTGCTTGAAGTGGTACGCCAACAATTCAGCATCTTCATATTGAAGACCGATTACCGGGGAAGGAACCGTCAATGGCCTCTCTGCACATCGTCCCTTTTGTTCACACAAACCGCCGTTCCCTATGTCTGCCTCCCGCCGTGACGTGGAGGACCTTCAGCCTCCGTGAGCTTTCCTGGTTCAGAGCTCTCAGGCAGCCTTCCTTGGCATCGTCACCAAACCAGAAATGTGGCCTTTCCCCTCTGTCCTGGCCAAGAGGAATCGTTGCGCCCGAACCCAACAAATGAAGGAAACTCTGAGAGTCACATCACACCAGGGACCATGAAACTGGCTGGACATTTTCCTCTCCGCGGCCTTGACAATCGTGGGCCATCCGGAGCCGATACAAGATGTATCTTCTGCCGGGAGTTAAGAGCTGGTTGCTTCTTTGGCCCTGGCACACCGGAGCCCTGGCTTCAGGACAGGACGTTGAGCAAAATGGCTCTGCCTCGGGCGTTCCGGGCCTTCCTGTCCCAGGGCCTGCCAGCACAAGTTTGCACAAACATCACACAGATGGACAGCCAGTGGAGGCAGCTTGCCGGCCCAGCTGGATTCAAGGGAGGAAAGGCTGCGAGGGGGGCGGGAGGGAAAGTGCATCCCAGGCCTGCCTCTCCATCTCATTTTTATGCAGGAACGAGCAGGCTCATGTCAGCCGCACACCCCATCTCTGTGGAGCGTTTTCTTGACACACGCTGTGATTGCTGCCAAAAAAAAAAGACTGGAACACTTCCTTTTTCTTTTTTTTTTTCCTTTCTTTTTTTGGTTTCTGGTGGGTTTTTTTTGTTTTTGTTTGTTTGTTTGTTTTGTTGTTTTGTTTTGCTTTTTGCTTTTCTTTTCCGAAAGCCTCTGCAGGCCTGAGCCGTTGGGTAACACGAGGCTGCCTTTGTGAAGCTGGCAAGCTTGCATGTGTAAGAGTGCGTGTACTGGCCATCTGGACCGTGCGGCCATGGCAGAATAAAGGCAATAATAATTTTACTGAAGTTTCTGGGGAATTGTCGTCCTTCGCTTTCCCTCTGATCTGTGATACCTAGTCAAATCCTGCCCCTCCCTTTTGCCTTTGTAGAGTTGTCTTCCCCCCCCCCCTTCTCTTTGAGAAGAGGGGAGTGTAATCTTTCTTTCTATCTCTAAGTTATAAATTATGAGGCACCAGGAAGATGTTTTACACATTCTCTGTGTCTGTGTGTTTTAATCTTGTCCGCTTGCCCCCATAACCTTGAATTTGCTTCTCATTCCTCTATGGCAGAGGTGGGGAACGATGGGCCTTTTATGAGGTGTGGACTTCAACTCCCAGAATTCCTGAGCCAGCCATGCTGGCTCAGGAATTCTGGGAGTTGAAGTCCACACCTCATAAAAGGCCCATCATTCCACGTCTCTGCTCTAACCAGAGAAGATCCTACACAGCTAGTTTGGATACATGATATGCCAGGGTGATATATAAGACCAGGAATTCTGGGATTTGAAGTCCACACCTCATAAAAGGCCCATCGTTCCCCATCTCTGCTCTAACTAGAGAAAATCCTACACAGCTAGTTTGGATACATGATATGCCAGGGTGATATATAAGATCAGGAATTCTGGGAGTTGAAGTCCACACCTCATAAAAGGCCCATCATTCCCCATCTCTGCTCTAACCAGAGAAGATCCTACACAGCTAGTTTGGATACATGATATGCCAGGGTGATATATAAGACCAGGAATTCTGGGAGTTGAAGTCCACACCTCATAAAAGGCCCATTGTTCCCCATCTCTGCTCTAACCAGAGAAGATCCTACACAGCTAGTTTGGATACATGATATGCCAGGGTGATATATAAGACCAGGAATTCTGAGAGTTGAAGTCCACACCTCATTGTTTTCTCCCCCCCCCCAGCTCTATGACCTTATGCTGGGTGCAAAAACCTTAAATAGGGGCCATTTAGATTTTGAAACACCTCCATTTCGAGTCTAAGTTGCTCGTTTTGAAAGCAGAAATGTAGTTTCTTGACCAAAAGTGGATGTTTCTGACTCTAAAGCTTTTGAATTTAGATACATTTTGTGTATCACTTGTGTTTGGATGGATGGCTGGGCTCATTTACTCTGGATTACAACAAGCAAGATTAGAGGGTGGGATTTGTGCTGAAGAACAGAAGAAACTCAAGCCAGAAAATCTGATTTGCAATTCTTTTGACCCAGATTATGAAAACATGAGACCACTTTGTTGGATCCCAAAAATTGTTTTATACTCATGCCACATTCCTACAGATGGGATCAACGTATAGGGGGGAAAAATACCTGGTAGGCATTCAATCTAGCTAGATTCTCTTGCTCTTATATTCCCAGTTTGAGGAATTCATCCTTCCCTTGCACGTGGGGGGTTTTGCATTCAGAAAAAGTTGGAAAGAGGGTGCCGATTCCTTTTTGTGAATTTCCAGGCATTCCAGAGAGAAAGAATGGCAAAACATAAGAAAGGACTGAACTCCTGCTCCTCCTTTTCCATGTTTGTGTAAGGACAATCCCCCTCATTTGATTTCTCAACTCCACTGGGATTGGGGGAGACGTTCCTTGAAGCTGGTCCAGTCCCTGTGTGGAAAAAAAGAAAAGGCTAGCATTTTAAAACCCCTCTGCCATTTTCCCTCTCTTCTGCCTTGGCTTTGTCTGCTTTATTCTACCTGAGCTTAATATGGAGGGAGAACAGCTGGTTTGCATAGGAGTTGGTGCATGCTGTCCTGGAACAAAGCAAATCGGTCATTGCTACCATCCATCATCATTGCTATCATCCATCATCATGTGTTTCATTCACCTGACACTCTGCAGATGGTTTTTCTCCCTGGCATAAAACAGGCTGGCTTCCTCTAACCAAGATGTGGGGAACTCATGGCCCTTTTATGACATGTGGACTTTTGACTCAGGATTCCTGAGCCAGCCATCTCTGCTCTAACCAGATAAAATCCTACACAGCTAGTTTGGGTACATGATATGCCAGGGTGATATATCAGACCAGGAGCTTGCTAGTTTAGACCAGATGACAAAAGGTGCATTATGCCGAAATTCCTAATTCATCCCCCGTATGATACAAGTAGTCCTAGACTTACAACTGGTCGCTTAGCAAACATTAGAAAATCCATCCAGAAAAGGTATGTACAACCTATTTCTTTTTTTAAAAAATATTTTTTATTGAATAACAAAAATTAAAAACATTGAACATGGTAAATCAGATTTGACATACATCACAGTTCATATTCACAATTAACTACTAATATATGAAAAAAAAACCTTTACAATAACATCACTCTAATCTCAATCTTAACTTATCTCATTACAATGACTTCCATATTTTTCCCCCACCATCTATAAAATTTATTCCAAATTTGGTAAAAATCCGTTTCATCCTGATTTTTGAGTCTCTTAGTTAACCTATTTAATTCTGCGCAGTGCATAATTTTATGAATTAAAATTTCCTCACTAGGTATAGCCATAGCTTTCCAATTTTCAGCGAATACAATTCTTGCCGCTGTAACCACATGAGTGAATAAATACATATCTTCTTTACTAACATTATTTTCAAGAATTCCTAACAACAACGTCTCAGGTTTATACTGGATGTTTTGCATACTCATTTCTGTTACCCATTCCCAAACCATACACCAATATCTCTGTGCTTCCTTACATAACCACCAAACATGAAAATATGTGCCCCTTTCTTTTTTACATTTCCAACATAGTACATTTTGTACATTTTGGCTAATCTTTCTGGAGGGAGATGCCATCTGTAAATCATCTTATATGAATTTTCTTCATATGATGACGCCAATGTAATTTTATTATTCCGCATCCACACCTCCTGCCATTGATCCAAATTGATGTTGTGTCCTAAATCTATTGCCCATGTCACCATTGTTTCTTTAACCTGTTCTTCGAATAGCCTGTACTCCAATAGTTGTTTGTAAATATTCCTTATTTGTACAACCTATTTCTGAAGGTCCAACAGCCAGAGGCCTCCCTCCATTTGGGCATTCAGCAATCAGCCTAGTTTTACAGCCATTTGAGCATCCTCTGGTCATATGACTGCAAAATACAATGTTTTTACTAAAGGTTTTGCAATTTTTAGCAAAGATACCCATAGCGAACAATAGAAGCTCTTAATGATTGCAGTGGTTGCTTCGTCACTGGTGTGGTGCCGCCGTGGTTAGAATGCAATATTGCAGGCTAACTCTGCCGACTCTCAGCAGTTCGATCCTGACTGGCTCAAGGTTGACTCAATCTTCCATTTTTCCAAGGTCGGTAAAATGAAGACCCAGATTGCTGGGGGCAATATGCTGACTGTAAACCACTTAGAGAGGGCTGTAAAGCACTGTGAAACGGTATAGAAGTCTTAAGTGCTATAGTACTATTAAGGGCTCTCTCAATGATCTGAAAATCGGGTTGATCATGTGGATGACCTGGTTTATAGCTTTCACAATTTACGACTGTAATGGGCAGCTCTATAAGAGTGCAGAAAAGAGCAACAAAGATGATCAGGGGACTGGAGGCTAAAATATATAAAGAATGTTTGCAGGAATTGAGTTTGTCTAGTTTAACGAAGAGAAGGACCAGCGGTGACATGTTAGCACTGCTCCAATATCTCAGGGGCTGCCACAAAGAAGAGGGAGTCAAGCTGTTCTCCAAAGCACCTGAAGGCAGGACAAGAAGCAACGGATGGAAACTCATCAAGGAGAGAAGCAACCTAGAACTAAGGAGAAACTTGCTGACACTTAGAACAACCTACCAGTGGAATCGCTTGCCTTCAGAAGTTGTGCATGCTCTAACACTGAAGGTTTTTAAGAAGAGATGGGACAACGATTTGTCTGAAATGGTATAGGGTTTCCTGCCTTAGCAGGGGGTTGGACTAGAAGACCTCCAAGGTCCCTTCCAATCCTGTTATTCTGTTAGTCATTATGGTTGTAAGTCGAGGACTATCTTTGCATGTATAAAAGGATGGGCTTCCATTGCAGTAATGTATTGCTCTTTGGCATCCTACTTTTCCTTGATCCGTCTCCTTGAACCATCCACCTTGAAGATTTTGGCCATAGTGTCCAGCCTGAGCAGCTCCTTTAGCATTTAAACATCTGGTGAGACCATCTTGAGACAGATGGGCTGGTTTGATATGTCTGACTGCATAGATAGAAGAGCCATTTAGTATTTGCCAGCAGTACAACTAGGAATTAAAACTTTGAAATACATAAAGAAATTTAATGGAATATTGATCGAGAGAAGAAGTGGATCAAATCTGTGCAAAAAAAAAAATCTGCCCAGAATTTTTAGGAGTCACCTCAACTGGTCCCATGAACTGCAGTTCAAAATTGCCACAATATCTTGAATTGTTGTATACCTTTCCAAAAATTCATTATCCCAGCAAACATTATCTGCAGACTTTTTTGACTTAAACTCTCTTTCAAGAGACGAGAGGGAAAAAAACAGAAATCTATATGAATATCCCAAAGGTGGGCGCTCCATCACTGGAGATTTTTAAGAAGAGGCTAGACCAGACATGTCAAACGCAAGGCCCGGGAGCCGGATGCGGCCCGCGAAGTGGTTTCATGTGGCCCGCGAAGCCACCCTGGAAACAGTGAGGGAACGGCCCCTGCTGCCTTGGCCCTGGCCCAGGCCAGCCGGGAGCCAATGTACAATTTTGTGGTGGCCATCTATGCTGAAACGCATTCAGTCTTAGCTCCACAAGGCCGTCTGGAAACAGCAAGGAACCAGCCCCTGCTGTGTCGGCCCCACCCCCTGGATGCATGCCGGGGAGGTGTCACCCTTTGTGAGGAATGACGAAATGCGCCTGGAAGTGGCCAGCAAATGGCCCTCGCCTACTTCACATATCCGGCTTGATGGGCTCTGCCCTGGTTCCACCCCTTTCTGCCAGAGACCCTCAGATCTGTCTCACTCCTGCCCAGGCTCCCACAGGCACCCTTGATGCAAATGATGTAGAACTGGCCACGCCCACCCAGTAGACCACACTCACT